CAAGAGTCTTGATACGAGAACAATAATCACTAATAGAAGAGTCTCTTTGAGTGATGTTTCAGATCTCACTGTCAAGTTGGATAAAGGTAGTATGCTTATTTTCTCGGAAAAGTAGTTCCAACCGGTTCCAAACGCCATATGCAGAGGAGTTTTTCTTCAGAATCATGTGGAGAAGAGGCTGAGACAACGTGTTGTAGATCCAAGATTTGACAATGGAGTCCAAACGTTCCCATTCTTCAGTTGGTTCAGGAGACTTGTCGGTGGTGGGAAGAAGATGTTTGGAGAGACTGTATCCCTTGCAATGAGTTTTAAATAGCTCACGCCATATGTCATAATTCATTCTGTCAAGATCAAGAACTAGGGGAACTGCATGTTTGAAGTTAATGGAGGAAGAAGGTTTGTCAAGAAGAGAGGCAGAAGAGGATGAATCACTACATGTCATGATTGATGCAGTAAAGGGAGGGAAACAGAATCAAGAATAGGAAGAAAAAAGAGAGATAACTCAGCGACTAGGGTTCTCTGTGTCACACCCCCAAACCAAGGATGGCGGAAACATCCGGGGGTGGAGGACTTCATGTACAGTATCACAACAACGTGTATAATAGTGCTCAAAGTAGAAACAACCACCATATATATAATTGCAAAAGTTACACCAAGGTATATGTTTATATGTTTCAAAAGCAATTACATTATGATGACAAAATAAATTGTTGACGGTTTAACGTCCCATCCTCAAAGCGATGAAGTTTTCCTGTTTCACTGATTTCCTGAGAATACAAGTAGTTTTAAAAAGTGTCAACACAAAGGTTGGTGAGTTCATAAGAGTTTTGTTTGAAGTAGAAACCGCTTTTCCTTGAAAAATCGATATAGTTTGATTTCCAGAAAATCCAATATTTTCTTAGTTAAGTATGAATAGAAATATTCCTATATGATGCATTAATGAACCCTAGAATGACCCGTAGAGTTCCTCTATAATCGTCCAGTGTATATAAGTTATATAAGATTTAAATTAGATAAAACGTTGAATATAGTGGGTCTGCCCTAGGTCCACAACCCAACGAGGAACAGGAGATGAGGCGGGCACCACCAATTCTAGGCCAACCAAGACTAAATTCTTATATGACTCAAACATATACACTCAGCGACTATAGTTGAAGTCTAACAATTCTAGAGGAAGAATAGTTTTAATATCAATATAACTTTGTATAGAGACCCGGCACTTTGTATTTGTACCCATAGAGATAAAAAGTGATTTTAAATCGACATAAAACTCATTTAGGTTTTAAAAATAAAATCCCGTAAACTTATGGATTGTTCCCTATGTGAGTCGTTATAATCATACTATGACTATGTGAACCTGCCACGACATTCTCAGTGTCGCGAAAAATAAAATGACATTTGTCACCCGTAGACCTGCAGGTCCAACTGTAGCTAGCAGAAAGGTGTGGGGTGTCAAACCCAATATAGATCTATATACAAGTATCACGTTCTCCCTCAAGGAGATTCTGATTATAACTACCAGGAATTATATCCCGCACTCGGACGTACGGGGAGAGAGAGAGAGAGAAAGAAAAATAGAGAAACTCACAATATAGGATAACAAGTTTACGTGAAATGTGTGTGAATATAAATATTTCTTGTATGAATGTACCCTTCTTGTACGAGTGCGTAGAGTGATGTATCATAAACTATACCTATTATAGTTTATCTAAAATGTATGTAATATGTATGAATCCTTTTATGGAAATGTATTAGTGTTGTGAATTTATCAAACCATAGATTAACTTACGTGAAATGTGTGCGAATAGAAATCTTTCTTATATGAATGTACACTTCTTGTACGAGTGCGTAGAGTGATGTATCATAAACTATACCTATTATAGTTTATCTAAAATGTATATAATATGTATGAACCCTTTTATGGAAATGTATTAGTGTTATAAATATATTCAAACTATACTTTTTATAGTTAAATAATACGTGTTCCAAAATGAATGAATAATATTTAATATGAATGTCTTAGTTTCAGTTCATAATGATAAACTAACTAGGAAACACATTCAAATATTAAAACTTATGATTATACACTTTGCTCAACATAATACAAAGTGTTATGATATTTACATGCTGTTGGCAAAATTTAGCAATTCTGCCCTGTTTTGGAAAAATCCTAGAAAAATCATACGAAGTCGAAAACTAGATCCGTAAATTCTGAGAGTTCACAAAATGTGTCTAGTTTTCTCATAATTTTTATCACAATTTATAATGACCTCTAACTTGGGTGAAAAAGTCCATAATCACAGACTGGTCCGGATTGTTGTTTGAAATGATAGGCAGTTTTGTAAAAATCACCATAAATTGTAGAAAAATCGTATGGAGATGTGCAAGTAGTCATTTTAAAGCTAAAAACTTGAACTATTTGCACCTTGTACAGTTTTGAAAACAAAAATGTTTAAGATGCCCAAAACAGTCCGTGAATGGAGTTGAACTTTTCTGATGAAGGCTGTTAGAAAAATCTAGTTATGTTCTTAGTGTTTTAACTTGTATTCCCCCCCTGAAAACTTGAGAAAACATGAAAATGTAGGGGTATGAACTCACCTTGAGTGATTTCAGTAGATGATTGTTGAAGAAGAGAAGTGTTCAACCCAAGAACACTTGAAGAATCACTTGAAGATTCGAAGCTCTAACGTTAATATGATGGAATTTGCGTAAGATATTCATGATTTGAGTAGAATGAAGTGAAATAATCATAAGGAGGATGAATTATACTTACTAAGAGTGGAAGAACACTTGAAAATCAGCCTTGAATCTCGAAATTGGAGTGGGAAAAGTTTGAGAGAAAAGTGGTGTTTGATTCTTAGTGAAATGAGGGCAAATGAGAGAAATGAGGAGAGAGGATGTTTGTTCCAGCTCTAAAAACGTGGGAATGAGGGTAAATTGAGTGTGAGGGACATTGATGTGACCTAGGTAAGGTGGGGAGGTGTGGTTAGTCAAAGAGTGGGTGTGGGGTGGTTGCTTGTGACATTGGATAAGGCAAAGTCAACACTCCACCTTTAATAATTCACCCATTTGATTTTTATTATTTAAATAATGATTTTCATCAAAATGTGTTTAAATTATGAATATTTAGAGTTTATTATGTTAAAATATAATTTCTGGAGAAAATCCCGCTTTAAAATCACGAAAAACGGGCTTAAAATGTTAAAAATATCAAAAATGGGCTAAAAGTGGCAAATATGCGAAATTCTGGCCGAGGTTCGGCCTTCTGGTGCTGAACCGAGAGAGAGGGAGGCAGAACCGAGAGGGAAGAAGAAGGAAGGAAGGAGCCGAGAGGGGGGAAGGAGAGAACAGAGAGGCGAGGAGCGGAGATCAGAGACCGAGCGAGAGAATAGAGATCAGAAACCGAGGCTCGGTTCGGCGATAAAAGGCGAGAATATGCGAACCGAACGGACTGTAGTGAACAGTACCTTCGGTTCGTTTGGTGAACAGTACTTTCGGTTCGGCTCAAGAGGTTTCGGTTCGGCTCAAGAGGTTTCGGTCGGGTGAACAGTACCTTCGGTTCGGGTGAACAGTACTTTCGGTTCCTCCTTTTCTTGGGTTCGGTTTCTCCTTTTCTTGGGTTCGGTTCCTCCTGGCTCGGTTCGGTCCTCTCACTTTCGGTCCCTAAGAGGACTTTCGGGTCCTAAGGAACTTCGCCCCTTATAAGAGGGTTTCGGTTCCTAAGGTCCATTTTTCTTGTTTTTATCCCGTTTTAAGCCGTTTTTGACCCGGTTAAGGGTCGGAATGACCCGAATGATTCTAAAAAGTTACGGGAAGCTTTTGAGAGAGATTTGGGAGAGATTTCACATACTTGGAGAGATTTGGGAGAGATTTGACATTCTTGGAGAGATTTCTCATACAAAGAGATATTTGAGAGAGGTTTCACATATTTGGAGAGATTTGTCATACAGAGAGATATTCGAGAGAGATTTCACATACTTGGAGAGATTTGGGAGAGATTTCACATACTTAGAGAGACTTGGGAGAGATTTAACATACTTATAGAGATTTCTCATACAAAGAGAGTTTTGGGAGAAGTTTCACATACTTAGAGAGATTTCAAATAGAGAGAGGTAGAGTGATAACGATTGAGAGAGGTTTCGAGTGTGGCATTTGTGAGTGTCTAGCTTCGCAAGGCAAGGTTTGTAAACCCTGTTAAGCCTTGTTTTAGGATCTTACACACTCCCGATGAGTATGCAACATTGTTTTATCGGATTGGCTCGCCACGTAGCACAGTTTTAGGTTAAGGAGATCTAGATGTTCGCACTTTTTGCTTTATGATTTCTCATTAGCATAGAGAGTTATGTAGAAGTTTCATAATGTGAATTTTAGTACTCATGGGCAAATTGAGTCAAACGGCTTGACTCGCTGACTTTAGTTGACTTTGACTTAACCGAAATTTGACGGTTGTCACACTCTGATACCATGTAATTGTCTTTAAAATCCATGCAATCCATTTCATCATAAAACGTATTTATACAAATATACATCAATGGGCCAAGGGCCACATATGGGCTACTAAATTAAATACATAGAAAATACATCAAAATATATGTGTTAACAGGATTGACACGCGATTTTTTCCAACGTATAATTCACAGTTTGTAGATGAATTTAGACTATAATTTTGTTGATTTTGGTATTATATTCACTGAGTTACAATCCTTCAAAGTTGAGCTATCAAAGCTGAAATATTTCAGCTTTTTAGATATTATTTTAGACTAAAATTTTGAATTTTATTTATCTTTGACAGATAAATCATATAGAAGGGATCTCAGTAGAGTACCGAAAATTGTAACTTTGAAGTTATAACTGAAATGGTGAAGTTCTTTGAAAAATTCAAGACAAAAACAGAGCTTGTTTCGGCTACATCAAAACTTTTAGTAAATCTTTTTATCCGGGAAGTCTTAGATGTAGACTTACATTTAAGAAACTGGTCAACCAAACCAATGTTTCTCGAAATGGTAAAAGACAGGAAGACGAAATACGATAAGTATTGGGGTACATACAACAAGATGAACAATTTTATGTACTTTGCGGTTTTACTTGATCCTACCACCAAATCACCTTTTTTGTTACATGCTTTTAAAAAAATGATCAGGTACATGGAAGTGATGGAACCGCCATTGACCCCCGCGGACATAGACATAAAAGCACGTCAAATGGTCCGAGAAATTGAGAATAGGATGGATAATTTATTTATGACATACTTGAAACGATTTGACAATGATGGATCATCTCAACAAGAAGTGAGTCAAAATGTCATTGATGTTGATGATGATAACGACTTTTTCAGTGATTTTCATTGTACGGGATGTAGCAACTCGGATCCAACAAATAACGAGTTTCGAACTTATTTGAAAGAGAATATAGTTAATTATATAAAAAAAATTCAATTCTCGGGTGGTGGAGACTAAACGCGATTAGGTTCCCGACAGTTGTTCGGATTTCGAAAGGTGATTATTTTTTTTAGTCTTTCATAGTTACTTTATAAATTAATGTTGTTACAATTTATTTCTTTTTTGTTAGACATATTGGCGATACAAATCTCAAGTGTGGCGTCCAAGTCCGCGTTTAGCATATGTGGTAGAGTTGTAAGTGAGTATTAGACTAGTTTATCGACTTTGATAGTTGAAGCTTTGTTATGCACCCAAGATTGGGTGAGAAAGTCTACAAATTCAATAATTGACAATGTTGATGACATCTTGAACGATGATGATATAGCTTTGGGTAAAAAATTTCAATCTTTGTTCTTTTTTTATACAATTATTAATTTTTATTAAATACTAGCAACATTTTCATTTGTGTTTACGTAGAGATTGCACAAGCTTTGAACATATTAGATATAGATGACAATGATATGGGGAAGCGACTAATACAAGATTAGATTGTGAGTTTATAAAGTTTGATAGTTTGATTAATTTTAAAGTTTAAACTATGATTTTTGGTGTTACAGTAATACTTTTGTATGTTTGTATTATGATTGTTAACTTTTGTTGGTAACTTGATTTATATATTAGTTGCTTTTATTTGGAAAACTAATTTTACAAGTTATGCATGAAACGAAAATGTAATCATTCTATCAAGTTGTATCGTATCAAACTCAACAACATATTTGTTTTAACGAGTTCTATGAAACCCAAAACTTTATTTTAATGATTTGTACTCTATACAAGTAAAGTTGTACCAGTCCAAACGGATCCAAGAACCGGAAAACCCGAACCTGGACTCGAACCCGGACACGGACACGGACACGATTCATCCGGTCCGATCCACGGTTCACAAAATTCTCCATAACCGGTCCAGTCCAAGAACCGGTCCGTCTGGTTCGCGTTCACCCCTTTGCCCCCTAACTATGTAAAAGATAGTTATAAGTTATACTAGAGGCTGAAACTTTTATATTTGCCCCCTAACTATGTAAAACCTTCAAAATCTTCCCTAGAATTTGTATCCAGCAATGGCTGTTGAAATCAATTCGGTGGGCTAAAGGCCCAACCTTATACCCCCGTCATAGAGAAGCGATATTCATAGGAAACCTCTGATTCTTCACGAGACTGTGATTACGAGAAGAACTTGTTGACGAAATCTATATTGTAATCGATTATGAATCACGTTTGGTGAGAAAATTCTGTGAATTGGATCTGCATACAAGCAAAATTGTGAATTTAAATAGGGATTTCGAGATCTGCCACCAACAACCACCACCATGAGAGTGGCAGGGCAATCACCACCACCACCTTCTCCGCGACAATCAACACCGTCGTCTCCATCTACATTAACAGCAAAAGATGCGGAATCTCTCTTCCGTACCAAACCCATCTCCGAAATCCGAAATGTCGAAGCCGCAACCAGAAAACAGATCCAAGACAAGAGCGAAGAGCTCCGGCAGCTTGTCGGTAACCGTTACCGCGATCTGATCGATTCCGCCGATTCAATCGTCAACATGAAGTCATCCTGCCACTCCATCTCTAGCAATATATCCGCTGTTCACGATGGTATCCTTCATTCCCTTTCATCTACCACGATTAACCCTAATTCTGCATCTTCAAACCCTGCTAGGGCTCGTATCTACGGCATTGCGTGCCGTGTTAAGTATATAGTCGATACACCTGAAAACATATGGGGATGCCTCGACGATTCGATGTTTGTCGGTGCAGCTGCACGATACATGCGCGCGAAATTAGTTCACCATGGTTTAACTAGCAACGATGATAACAAGAGCGTGTTATTGAAATTCCCTTTGTTACAACACCAATGGCAGATCGTAGAGAGTTTCAAAACACAAATCTCACAGAGAAGTCGTGAGAGATTGTTGCTAGATCAAGCCGTAGGACTCGAGATCTCTGCATATGCTGATGCTCTTGCTGCTGTTTCAGTTATCGATGAACTCAATCCGGCTCAGGTTCTGAAATTGTTACTTGATTCAAGAAAGTCTTGTGTTTCTCAGAAACTAGGTAGTTGTAAGGTGGCTAGTGAGGATGTGATCATGGTGTTTTGTGAAGTATTGAAGGTGATCCAGGTTAGTGTAGCACATGTAGGAGAGTTGTTCTTGCAGGTTTTGAGCGACATGCCTTTGTTCTACAAGACAGTATTGGGTTCTCCCCCTGTTTCTCAGCTCTTTGGTGGGATCCCAAATCCAGATGAAGAAGTAAGATTATGGAAATCTTTTAGGGACAAATTGGAATCCATAATGGTAATGCTGGATCGTGATTTCATTTCCAAAGCTTGTTTGGACTTCTTAAGGAGTTGTGGGAAGGAGATTGTCAACAAGGTCAATGGGCGTTACCTAATTGATGCCATTGATAATGGGCAACAGCTTTCTGCAGCTGAGAAATTGATCAGAGAAACCATGGAAGGGAAAGATGTGTTGGCAGGGAGTTTGGAGTGGCTGAAAACCGTTTTTGGTTCAGAGATTGAAATGCCATGGAGTAGAACCCGTGAGCTTGTTTTAGGCAATGATGATGATCTTTGGGATGAAATCTTTGAAGAAGCTTTTGCATCAAGAATGAAAGCTATAATTCTCTCTGGATTTGATGAAATGAATAAGATAGTCAATGTAAAAGAGTCCATCCTCACAATCTCTGGTGACCAAGTTGACTTTCAAGCTTTCTTGAATAGGTCTCCATTAGGTGGTGGGGTTTGGTTTATGGAGCCAACTAGCAAAAGAGGTGGTTTAGTTACAAGTCCTAAAGCATCCATGGTGGGTAATGATTATCAAAACTGTCTAAATGCTTACTTTGGTGATGAAGTTGGGAGAATCAGAATGGCAGTTGATAACCACTGCAAGAATGTTCTTGAAGACCTTTTAAGCTTCTTGGAATCTCCAAAAGCCTCTTTAAGATTGAACAAACTAACACCATATCTACAAAGCAAATGTTTTGAAAGCATTTCAGCCATACTTACAGAGCTCAAGCATGAATTGGAGTACTTGTATGCTACATTGGGGTAATACTAATTCATCATCATCACCTCCATCATCATCATCATCATCATCTCCATCTCCAGCTATAATTGTTGAAAGATCACTATTCATTGGAAGACTCCTGTTTGCATTCCAAAAGTACTCTAAAAACATTCCTGTAATCCTTGGTTCTCCTAGACAATGGTTGAATGAAAGTAGAGGATCAGGATCAGTATCACCACTTTTGAGGTATTCTAGTGGAAGATTTGATTCGTTCACTTCTGAAAACCATGGAAAGAAAATTCTCACCTCACCTAGAAGACAATCTTCACTTACTGCTTCTGCATTATTTGGAGTTGATGACACTTCAAGCCCACAGCTTCCTGAACTTAAAAAAACAATACAAGATCTTTGTATCAAAGCTCATAACCTGTGGATAACTTGGGTTTCAGATGAACTCTCTTCTCTCCTTTCTCAAAGCCTCAGAAATGATGAATCTTTATCTGCAACCACACCATTGAGAGTAAGTTTTCCTTTTTTAGTTTTTATTCCACATTACATTTATGTAAATTGTTAAAAAAAATGTTATAACTATTTACAGGGGTGGGAGGACACAGTGGTTAAACAAGAGGAGTCTAGTGAACACCCATCAGAGATGAAGATCTCACTTCCTTCAATGCCTTCTTTATACATCACCTCATATTTGTTTCAAGCTTCTGAAGAAATTCACCGAGTTGGAGGTCATGTTCTTGATAAACCAATTCTACAAAACTTTGCTTCAAAATTACTCGAAAAGGTATTTATTTTCAAAATCAATAATTTGTGTTTCTTGACATAAGTTTATTTACTCATTACTCATATTCTTGTTGTTTTCTTGATATAGGTGATTGATATATACACAAATTTCCTCTCAAACAATGAATCTACTACAAATACAACCCGTGTGTCTGAAAAAGGAGTACTCCAAATCTTACTTGATCTAAGATTCACTGCTGACATTCTATCCGGAGGCGATTTAACAGGAAACGAAACCTTAAAAACATCAAAAACAAAAACAGCATACAGACGAAAACAAGATGTTATTCAACAAACAAAAACAGTTATGAAAGATCGCCTTGATGAGTTGGCAAATCGCCTCTCTCAGAAGCTAGACCCCATAGACTGGCTCACGTAAGTTTCTTTAATTTATTTATTTTATATTCGTGACATAGTTATAAAATATAATTTTAAAAACTGTGTATAGGTATGAGCCATATCTTATGGAAAACGAGAAGCAGTGTTACTTGAGACATGCTGTTTTATTTGGTTTCTTTGTGCAACTTAATCGTATGTACACAGACACCATGCAAAAATTGCCTACAAATTCAGAGTCAAATATAATGAGATGCTCCACAATTCCTCGTTTCAAATATCTTCCAATCAGGTTCATTCATGATTCATCTTTTATTAAATTGGTTTATTATTATTATTATTTATTATTAATGTTGTTTTTTTTTTTTTTGGTATGTAGTGCTCCTGTGTTATCCAAGGGGACAAGTAAATCGCCTATATCAACATCATCTATAGACAACAGTGTGACATCATCAAGTAATTCATGGAGAAATTATACACAAAATGAGCATATGAATATGGATCATGACACCACAAGTTTAGGGGTTGCAACGCCTTTCCTCAAGTCCTTCATGCAGGTAGGTAGATCGAGATCGTCTTCAAGGGCAAAATCGTAATTTTAAAAAAAATGTCTTTTTTTTTTTTTTTTAAATATTGTTGTTGAAATGCCAGGTTGGCAGTAGATTTGGGGGAGAGTACGTTGAAACTAGGATCGATGCTGACAGAAGGACAAGTAGGGAGATTTGGGGATATTTTACCTGCTCAAGCAGCTGGACTTCTTTCATCATTTACAGCTGGAAGATCAGATTAAAATCTGGATTTATTGATATTATATTTTCCAACAAATTAAACAAGTTCCAAAAACATGGGAACTCACTTGGGTGACAAATTAAGGTCTCACATGAACTGCTGCTTCGAGGGGATTTATTTGTAAAGAGAATATTTTCAGGAGGGTTATGTTTGTTGATGTAAAATTTTGGGATATGTGTGTGTGTGTAAACGAGGTGAAGACTGAAATTATAATTTCATGTGTTTTAAATTTTATGAAGAAAAGCAAATAGAAGAGAGAGAGAAAGGGGGAGTTTGAAGAGGTTAAGCTTAGAAGAGTGTGGACTACACATATTTGTATACTGTTTTTATAGCGACTTTATTATATTTTCATTGTTTGGAAACATTTGGTATTATGTGTTTATAATTTGGATCAATTCAAGAATTTTAACAGTTCATATGTTTTGTATTATTTGTTAAATGAGATTTGGACGCGACTTATTTGCAGCTTCTGCATACGCTATTTACTCTACATTTTACAAAATGAAAGAACTTTTTTTCATACGTTATTACTTTACAAAACAGTGAGAGTTATTTTTGATAATTTAATTTGAGAGATTGAGAGACATTCATTGTTACCTTTTTATGTAAAATTGACATAGCATAGCATGGTAAAAATTGGTTACAAAATGAAAGTTCGATTAAATGATTAAAAGTTGCATATAATGATCATTAAAAAAAATGATACATTATTTGATAAAGTAATTAATATACTTTAAATTGTCAAAGCTGAAGGTTGTGAGATAGTTTGAGGACTAATTTTGTAGTTTACTCTTAATCCGTGGCCTTATACTGTCACTTTTCAACTTTATTAGTTACACTACGAAGGCGAATCACGCCCCAACGCATTTCACCGATCTTCTTCCCAACGACGAGGAACTCCAAGCGAATTGACACGGAGAAGTGATTCCGCCGGTGAGTTCTACGTTCTGTTATGTGTAGATCATCTTTCGTTATACCTATTTTCATTTATCATCTAATTTTTATATGTATGAATCATATGATTCCTCGGAAGCATTAGTTTGTAGTGTTAGGGTTCAATTGAATCAAAATGTTCGTTTGCTTGATTAAATTGACAATTCTATGGAGCTTCCTTGAGGTTTCATACAGTTACATCTGTGCTTCTCTCTCACAATAATGACAATTTTGATAATCCTGTTGTTAGTTTCGATTTGATTATTGTAATTATGTTATTTTCGAAGTTATGTACTGAATAATTTTCGGTTTTACAAGATTGACTTGATTTACTGCTGTAATTGTTATGATAGCTTCAATATTCCTGTTGCTTGAATTGATTCATTTGTTTGTTGCATCACCAACTCCGATCAAAACTTATCACGGTGGCGAATTCATGCTTTTTGATTATATTCTCTGCACCTGAAATATAGGTTTTTAGGGCATCTTTGTTTCCTCACTTTTTAATCCCTTTGGG